TAGAGATATAGGCGGTGACCTTTTGTAAGTGACCGCTCAATATAATAAGAAAATTTAAATACGCCTTATTTTCAAAAAAATGACAAGTGTTTTTCAACCAAAGTGTTTGAAAAGAGTGAAAAATACCTCTGTGTTGAACATAACACTCTAGAGAAAGAAAAGAAAAGATACATACTCTAGGTCATAGAAGAAGAAACACCTAATTTCTCGAGACATAGGCTCTTCATAGTATATGCAGAAGCTTTGTATTAGAAGCTTGATTTTTCAAGAAGACATGCATTTTGACATAGTAAGATACTAAGTTTCTTGGGACAAAGTCTCTGTATAGCACATACAAAAGCTTTGTGTCCTAAACTAGGATTTCAAATACATCAAGATATTGAGAAGTTAGGTTTCTATGGACAGAAGCTTTGTATAGTAGATACAAAAGCTCTGTGTCTTAAGCTAGAGTTCTCAAGTGTGCAAGTTTCATGAATTCAAGTTTCTGGAGACAAAAGCTCTGTATAGTATATACAGAGGCTCTCTAAATGAGACTTGGGTGTTTTCAAAAAAATAAGAAATATGAGACTAGAGTATGGTTTAAAAAAAAAATACTGCCTTCAGAGTAAATACAGAGTCTCATAGTTGGACTATGTAGAGTTTATGCCTTCAAAAGGAAAATTTGATGAGACAGAAACTCTGTATAGTACATACAGAGGCTCTGTATTGTTGATGATTCGAGTCTCCCCTTGAGTTGGGCCGACTGTGTTTCTCTCCCTTGAACTACGCTTGGATCAACAGATTATAAGAAGTGTACGAGCGATAGGACAAGGTATAGAGGCTTTGTCTAGTTTAAACAGAGGCTCTACATGACAACAAGTCAATAGACTCGAGCAAGAGACCCTGCATAGTATATGCAGATGCTCTGTCTTATGGACTTCAAAGAAATATCAAACAGAGATACAAAGCCTTTCTCTATTATTTCCTTGTCCTTGTCTTATGGACTTCAAAGAAATATCAAACAGAGATACTCTGCATAGTATATGCAGATGCTCTTTCTCTATTATTTCCTTGTCTTTTTTCTGTATAGCATTTTTCAGCTCTAAGCACTTTGTTTTTAAATTGTTTTCTGTGGAGAGTTTGGTTTTTAAAATTTTATCTTTCTCCACATAAAGCTCCTCTTTTTCTACAAACAAAATCTCTGTTTCACATTCAAAGAAATTCTTTTCCTTTTCTAAAGCTTTTCTTTTTTCATTTTCGTCAGAGAGTTTTTATTGTAGTTTTGCAAAATCTTGGGTTAAAATATAGATGCTTTGCTCCAGTTCATAATGGGAATATCCAGAAGTAGAGCATACTTGAGTTGGAGCCAGATACAGACTCTTCTGCATCATGAACAACAACTATACTACAGAAGTGAGCTTGGTCCTTTTCTTATGACGTAGAGTCAGGGACCCAGTTCTATTGTTCGGCCATGAGACTCCTCTGGGGCCGGTTGTACTTGTACTTGTTTTTGTAGTACAATTCATCTTTGACCAGAGGGCCTCTGCAGTCCTTTGAGTAGTGGCCCATTCTTTCGCATTTGAAGCATCAAAATGCATGCTTCTTCTTATTAGGTTGTTCTTCCTCCTTCTTGATCACTTAAGAAGGAGGGTTCTCTAGCTTTAAACTTTTATCCTTCACTCTGTCACTATTACTTCCTCTCTTATAAAATATCCGTTTGCCAAACTTCCTTTGAAATTCCTTGGTGTTAAGAGCCAAGGATTGTGCAAATGCACTAATGTCATCATCTTTAGAGCTTGAAGCTCTATCTTCATCATCACTCTCTGTTACTAGAGCTTTCTTCCATCTTCTTCTATCATCTCTGGATCTTCGTTCTCTGGATGGTTGGTTGTATCTAGTCTTTTTGGAGTCAGATACAAGAGCTAGAGGTCCACCCAAAGCGACCTTGTTCTTCTGCACCTCTTGTTCTAGTACCTACAAGGTGCCGTAGACGTCATGCAGCGTCCACTGTTCCAAATACCGATTTGCTTGAAGGGACATAGACAAGTTCCTCCATTCGTTATTCAACCTTTTAAAGAAAAGCATATTATTCTCTTCTTGAGTTCTAATCACATCGCACTTTTTGCACTTATTGATTAGTGTGTTGAAACGATGAGTCTGCTCGAGAGACTCATCGAGGAGGGCGTGGAAGCTGTTGTACTCATTGAGACACTAAGCACGTCTATTCTTCTTCATCTTGATTCCTCCTTCAAGCTGATTTGCCAACTGATCCCACAAATCCTTGGCGAATTCACAGGCATCCAGAGATTGAAAGATTTCATTTGGAAGAGCAATAATCAAAAGCCTTTTGGCTTTTTGATCGACCTCCACTAGTCTTTTGTCTTCATCGTCCCAATCTCTTCGAAGTTTGGGAACACGTCTCGCAGGTATTTCAACGGTGTCTCCAGCAGGTGGAACCCTATGAATTGGGGTTGTGGGACGTAAGGACTATTGAGAATTGATTCATACAGTTCAAGGTCTAGACTTTCATAGAAGTTTATCATCCTAATCTTTCATTGGGGATATTCATCCCTAATGAGAGTAGGAGGTTTTGTGAGGGAACCAGCACTATACATAGAGTTCCAAGATTGATTAGACATTTCAAAGAAGATTTGGATAGATAATAAGCATGAAGTAGAAAAATCTAAGCTGATGAAACTAGCAGTTTCGGAGAATACTTAAAGCAAACATTTTTAAAGAATTTGATTTGAGATTAGAATGAAATGCGTTTTAAAAACAAATAACCAACAAAAGAGGATTATCCTTATTGGATATAGATCGACTAATCAATTGATTTGATTAGCAGGCTCTGATACCAATTGTAGGAACCCAAATTCCTCTTAAGTGTCAATAAACACAGTAAAATCAAATATTGAATGGAAGCAAGAACTATGTAATTGAAAAAGGTGAACAGAATCGTTCAAGAAGATAATAAGAATGAAAAACAATCTTGAACAAGTCAGATGCTTTATTAGATTTCGAGTGTAACAATAAACTCTCAACTTAACAGTATTCTCACAAGAACTCTCTATTATGGAGCGTAGTCTAATTTGGCAATCTAACAGGTCATTATAACCTGAGGAGGATGCCTCTTTTTATACGACTATGCTAAACAAAATCTCCTAGATTCTAGGCTTCAAGCTCTGACTTCTTGTTCAACGTACTTAGCCTTCACGTTCCTTGGAAAATGAAATGGCTTGAATCAACGTGGTAGATTCTGTTAGGAGTCTTGGAGATAAGTCTGAACAAATTGTGCGCAAACCATGGGAGTAGGAGACTCAGAGGCTCTGCATGTATTATGTAGAGGCTACATGCCTTGAATGTAGCTCTGCATCAAGTACTTAAGCTTTTTGACGCTTAAGCCTTGATCTTCCTCTGGGTCGAGCATGGGCCATGTATGTAAGACGCTTAACTCTTTGAATAAGAGCTCTGTCTCTTAGTATCTTCTGCATAAGAGCTCTTGATCTAGACTGCTTCAAACGACTAAGTCCTAAATGACTAGAATAAGAGGCTTCTTACTTACACTTTTACAATTGGGGTTCTAACAAGTACCGTCGGCCACCACCACTTCCACCATACTATAACCAACACAACCTCCACCTCCACCATCACCATAATCACCACCACATCGGCCACAACTACCTCATCCACCACTGTCAACCGCTATCACCACCACTACCCCCACACTCGTTGTTGTTGCAATAATCTTTATTGTGCCTTATTCAGTTGATAATGATCTTTCAAGCCGAATAAAACATATTTCTCTTTTGAAGAAATCGGATTTTTCAAACTACCATCAATTATATCAAAATTTTCATTCAAATGTGGCATTATTACATATGTATGTATTTATGCATATGAAAATTGTGTTAAAATGTTTATAAATTGAAATATTTACTTTATTAGAGTTTCTTAAAACTATTATATGATGTATAAAATCATCAAATAACTTTTGAGGACAACTTGTCTAGTTTTGGACTTTCCAGTCATAGTCGTACTAAATACCATACACACATATTCTGTCTAGTCCTCCTCTCTTATTTGTCAAATTTGTTATTTCTAACTAGAAGGGTACTCGTACAATGCAGTGAAATAAATCTCCAGTTTAATGTTTAGTTTTTATTCTTTGTCTCTACCGATATGATACGATTTTATGTTGTTTTGAGAAAGCGATAATGTTTTTACTTTTAAATGAAATATAAATTTGAAGATAGCATAAAAAAATAAAATCGATATTAGTATTAAATTAACTATTTAATAGTTTTCCTTTTTTTTTTTTTGTAACTTCTTTAATTCAATTTTTCATTATAATTTAATTTAGGATTAATAAGAAATTAATTTATTTTTGATTTAATAATATAATTTTTATTAAAGATAATAATTAAACATTATGTTAGAAACTCAATAATTATCTTAATTATATCTTAGATTTTTTATATTTAAAATAGATGTTTATCATGTATTTGATTATGTTTATCTGCAGTTAGTTACACGAATTTAAAAATAGAACTTTAATAAGTTGTACTTATACAAAATCATTTGTAATCATAAATTTTAAATAATATACATAAATAAATACTACTTAATGCATAAAAAATAATTTTAAACAACTTTTGTCAAATGCTTTATAATATAGTAAAGATAATGTGTACACATAATACCACATATTACATTTTATTTTTGCAAAAAATATTTTACTTAATTGTAATTTTGAATTTTAAATAATATATATAAATAAATAGTACTTAATATATTAAAAATATTTTTAAATAATTTTTATCAAATGCTTTTAATATAGCATCGATAATATTACATATAACACCACATATTACATTTCCTTTTTGCAAAAGACGTTTTACCGATTAATTAAAGCGTGCTTGTTAAGCAGGGGTTATTCAAAATTATTAGACTTTGGTACAAAGTCTTGACCATCTATGCCACGAAAATCCAGATGCTACTTCCAAGAAAACACAAGGGATCAAGTCAACAAACCGCATCGGTGGAATTAGTTCTGTCGTAGGTAGGCGCCTTCAACCAAATAAAACACCACAATTCACAGGAACACATTCGAATCAAGGCCTTCCATTCAATCAAATCAAATCAAATCAAATCTAATACTGCTAATCGTCTCCATACTCGAGCGTTTTCCTCTGCATCAGGCCTCTCAGCTCTTCAATTTCTTGCTTCGCATCGTGAGATCGAAGGCAACAACGCATTCTACGTTGTCGATATTACTTTTGTGTTTTGAAACTGGTGAAATTGCTTGAGGATGTTTCCTGGTATGATGGATCCGGAGATGATGAGGCTTGCTCAAGAGCAGATGAGTCGTATGTCACCCGCCGACTTATCCAGGATCCAACAACAGGTCCTTCCTTTTATTTAAGTAATTTATAGTTTGATAGAGACGATGAATAGTATATAATTGGTTTTGAAGAATTTGAGGTAATATATAATAAAGGAAAAGAGAAGTATTTTTGGATTTAGGTGATTGTGTTTTCTATATACCAAGTTGTCCGATGCTTTCCAATTTTGATTTGAGTTGATGTTTCTGATGCATGTTGTGCTACGAGCTTCACGATATTGAAGGCCGGATAACTAAATAAGATTCACCTTTGCATTCGAAATTCAGGACCCACAAGCTTTTTCCAAAGAATTCTAAGTGCTAAAGATGGGTATTTGGAACATTATTGATGTGGATTTATGATATGATAATGCTCAACGAATTTGTCCTGCTGTTCTGCTTGTTTTTGATGACTAAGAAATCAAATGCAATGCTGGACTGTGTAAGTTGTTTTTGATAACATGATTTATTTGCAAAAAGGTATGCTCATATGTGAGATATACTCGTGGTTAATGATGCTTACCTTTTTTAAGATAGAGGAATAGGGATCATAGAATGTTGTGCAAACAGAACTTATGAATGACCAATGCACAGAGCACGGGCCAAGACCTTTGGAAGGAAACCCTGGTGCATAAAGGCTTTGCCCTTGGTTTTGCTAGGGTCATGGTGAAAGGAAGTCTTTATGCATAGCTACCTTGCAGTTTTGCAAAAGAGTCGGTCAAACCTGCACCCCTAGTCATGAAAGAAGAAGCCCACTGGTTTATCTGAGGCTTCCCCTGGTTAAGATCTTTGATGAAGGGTCAAAAGTGTAAGATTAAGTGTGTTTTGCATCATCTTGACTAAGGTCACTGTTTTCTTGTGTCACTCTATACTCTATAGTTAGATGTTATCTAGTGTTTTTGGTAACAAGTGTGGGCAATGATTTGGCTCTGTTGGTTCTTTGCAGTTGCATGAAGTCCTTTGTGGTATATTGCATTTAAGAGGAGGTTTTACAGCAGTAATTTACTGTCATAACTTCTCATATTATTAACTGAAAATTTATCCAAACACAATTGCAGAAGTTCCTTGTTTCCCTAATTAAATAGTTTCAAAGGCTAGGGGAGGTCTGCTTGAAGCAGAAACATACAGAATTTGTAGAACTTCAGATAATAGTGTTTTCATGGACTATAAAGGATTCAATACATTACACCTGCCCATGCACAGACACTATTATCTCCTTAGAAAGACCATTTGCTCTTATGCATGCACCTAAGCTTCTCTTCTATGTTCTCTTTTTAAGTTTTATTTTTTGTAATTCCTCTCTCCTATGATGATGTAGAATTAACTCATTTGAGGGACACAAAGCTCAGAATATATCATACCACTTACCTAAAGTATATAAGTAAAAATTTATACATCCATGGTGATCAGGGAGGTGCATGAAAATATAGGATTGATGATATTTTATGAAGAACCGTTTGAAAACAAGTGGAAGTCTGAATGCCACATTTTATGAAGGCCCTAGGCCACTTGGTTCCTCTTACAGCCTGGGAAATGTGAGGGACATGAAATCAAGTTAATTGAAGACCGACCTCGAATGATAATAGTTCAAACTTCAAAAGGCAGACAACACCTTTATTTTCTTGTTATAAGATTGTCTTCTTATATAAGATCAAACAGAGAGGTTACGTGAATGTCAAACCACAAAGTGACGACTATGCCATGATTAATAGAGGTTGTCAGAAGAGAAGTCACAGCAGGAGAGAAATCAAAATAGGAGAAGATCTAACGAAGTCACTTCTCAAGGCAGAAGAAGTCAAAATCTCTCTCTCTCTGTCATCTCGTCTTGTTTTCTCTCTCTGTCCTGCTCTGTAGTTAGTTTTTTCTTGATGGATCATATCAGGTTGGTGTTGGTGCAAATAAAATTTGGACAGAGAGTCTGAACAGTTAACCCCCTTGCCTTGTTTCTATGATTATTTGGACTGTTTTATGTGTTACACATTGATCTCCCTTTTACTCCTGATAATTTCTCTTCAATACTGATTGTTTTCGTGCTTTTCGAAATGCTGATTGTTTTACTTTACATGTATATGTAATTGCAGATGATGTCTAATCCCGATTTAATGAGAATGGCTACAGATAGCATGAAATATATGAAACCCGAGGACTTGAGGCATGCTGCAGAACAGTTGAAGTCTACTCGACCAGATGAGATGGCAGAGATAGGTGAGAAGATGGCCAATGCAACACCAGAGGAGCTAGCTGCTATGCGTTCTCGAGTAGATGCACAATTAAGCTATGAATTAAATGCAGCTCAGATGCTGAAAAAACAGGTACCTTAAAACTCACGAATTTCAACCATTAGATTCGTTTCGAAGTTGTATATACATAATGCATGCATATATGTACATACACATATATTCCATGTGCTTGTATTTTATAGATATATACATGAAGTAGTACCTTTCATGGTATCCGACATCACACGATGCAGTCTGGGTGGTGCAGGCCTCCCACTTAGGGACCTAGGTCTTTCGTGTGGGCACCTAAGTTTGTCCAGAATTATTATCATTGTATGTTTGATTTGTATTATGGTATTTTTGATTATAGCACACAGTCTTGATTTTATAGGTTGGTTATTTTTACTTATCTTTTGTATTTCAACCTTTTTGAAGATTCTATGACCCATCTTTTACTTAGGTGACCCTCTCTTCTGATTGTTTGTGGTGTAAACTCAATCAACCGTTCTCTATACATCACATCATGCAATGAAATGGTATTCTCATACTGTTAATCCTTTTATTGTACTTCCTCTCCTTTAACCCATCTGATGCAAGACCTCTTACACTACATCGCTTTGAGGGACAAAATCAATCTTTTCAAAGTATAAGTGCTAGTATGAGGGGGTCGAAGACCAAGAAGTGAATTATTTATACCAGCATTCTTCTTACAGATGTCTCTAATTTGTATTAGATTCATTAAAATTTGCCATCTATTGGATTTATTTGGCCACATACCTGTATAGCATTAGATATGGATCATGGGTGAACTTCAAACTAGCAGCTCATCTTGAGATAGTAGTACATTTGTTTGGTTTTATTTATTTTAAACAACCCAGGGATTCTTTTTTTGCACAAGAAGTACATAAATGACAATTATTAGGGGTTTTGATAAATTACTTCGCCTAGAAAACGTTTCTATTGGTAAACATCATAGTTTATAAAATTGTATTATCTGAAGTATAATTACATGGCTAATTTGAGTTGACATGAGTCTATATCACATGTGGTGAAGTCTTTGTGAGCGAAGTCCTTCATTATTATTTGAGACGGTAGTTTAAGTGGTGAATGTCTTCCAGGATTTATTCCTTTAAAGCTTTCTTTTTGTCAATGTCTTGTGAGGATTCAGGCATTCTTTATGTTGTATGTGAAGCTAGAGACAGACATCATGTAAAGGTTCTGATAACAGCAGGGATTTTTGTTAGAAAGTTGAGAATGGTTTTGGCTATAACACCAGTATCTATGTTCTCCAGCAGCATGCCTCATGGTAGGATGTTGATAACACCTTTGGGACTGTCTTATCTTGATCACTGCTAAGGAGGCTAAATTGATATCGGTGGCCTGTAGTGATTCAAGAACTAATTGATCCCAAAGCTCGTACATTGTTACCAAGGCAAAACAAATTAATTTTGCAAGCAATTTTGTACGACCTTGAAGGTCCTTTTAGTAGCAAGTCTTTCTACCAATTTACCATTGGACACAAGAACATGAAATCTGATGCCAAATACAGCTTGTAAGATTGGTCCAGCACGCTGTCATATAGTTATAGTAAGTGGTTCAGAAATATACCAATTCCAGCCTAGCAGCTGTGGTGTGCGTATCTCATCATGGAAACACACTTTCAACTTGGCTAGTGTCTTTTTTGTACGTTAGTTGAAGCTCATGTGACTAATGGTATATAATTTATAGGAGCGTGTTTTCGAGATTCAAACACGAGAACTTGAATCTGGAACACTAGGTTACAAGCAAGTAGGTTATGTAGAAAGTTCTTGCTAAATCTTGTCATTTGAAATCATTTATTGTTCTTATTCTTATTCCTATTATTTTTGTGATAATTTGTATGTTTTATAGTTATGTAAAAAACTATAAACATGCATATCCTCAAAAGAAGAGGAATTACAATTTTCTTTGATGAACAAAATGCTCTTATATTCTAAAGCCTAACAAGTTCTGTGAATAATCCATCTGTTTGAAAGTCATTCCACAGAGTATAATATTCATTTGCTGTATATAAATATTATATACTTCAAAAACAATCTTAATGAATGTTGCCATCTGAAGCTCCTGACCTTTTCGCTGACAATCTAAAAATGGAGTTTCTAGAACTAGGCCCATTATGTATATGTTCTTGCTGTTGTCGAGTATATCAGGTTTGCGCAATGGTGTCCCGATAATTTTGTTATACCCTGGGTATAGAAGTCAATTGGTCGATTTTGGTAAGCGGGTAGAGAGTTGGTTAGTTGGGGTAGTAATGAAAGCCCTTTGCAACCATTTTAGAGTCTCAGAGGAGTACTTGGAATTTTCTTCGACTCTGATGAGAGCTTGTCCTTGTGTTCATTCCTGTAGACAAATCCCAACTCTGGCATCATAATGACAGATGCAGAGGGGACTTCATTAATGCAATCAAGCTCTTCATTTGGTGAAGTAACCGCCAGCTCCAGAGCGATCTGAAAGTCGATCTTGCTTCTATATCTGACCAGCTCATCCATCACCTCCCTTATTCTGCTGTTGGCAATGTTGTAGATCGTCCCCCATTCGATCCTCTGGTATGTGAACTCGAAGAGCGGTTCCAGATCATGCGACTTAAGGTTGATGAGGTCATTGTCATTGAATTGACATATTTGTCCATGAGCCCTCTCAACCGTGTATTCTGCATACACAATTTCCTTATATGCATAAGTTCTTCTCTTGACATCCAACACAGTTCTGATTTCGTCTATCAACCACACCTTATCTCTGTCTTGAGTGTGATCTCTTACAAATCTCCATCTGATATGTTCTTGAACATCAGGATGGATGTTTGGTTGGAGATACACATACACCTCTTGATCTTGATTGTTGTGGAGGTAGCACTGGATGTTTTCCATTAGCTTTGGCTCTCTGGCTTTTGGATTTGGGCGTGGTTGTCTTCTTAGTGTTTCCATTTGTTCAATAACCTCTCTAACTCTGTCTTGTGTGACTTGAGGAGGAGCAGAGGTGGAGGGTACATTCGGTGTTGGAGCAGAAGATGATGGAACACTTGAATCATTGGTTGGTGGTGGTCGTACAGATGTTGATGGAGCAGAAGTAGGCTTGGATCGCTGTCTTTAGAGGGGTAGGTCATCTTCTAGCTCAGAGTCAGAAGAGACTTCTTGAACATTTACCGCTTTGACTGATTTGATATTGGGAGCAGCAGAAGATGCTTTGGCCTTCCCATTTGACAGGGGCATACTGTACTCACCCACAGCTGGACGATGAGTCTTCATCAGTAGAGGCCAACTGCCCCTCTGGTTTTTTCCTTGTAATTTCTTCTTCTTTGTCAAGCCCAAACACAGAGGCAGAAATGGTTGTTGTTGAGAAGAAGGTTGTTGAAATGGCACTTGTGAGATGGGCACGACAGGAATGACATAGGTAGGTGCAGATGTCTCCCCTTTATGATGATCTTGAGGACCAGTAGCATCCAAATCCTCTTGATCATCATACTTTCGCTTCTTGCTAGCCTCTTCTGCAAGAAGTGTCCTTTGTGTTCCTCTTTCTTCTTGTTGGCATTCCCTGTACTTTAGCATCAAACATGTTGCAAATGTCCTCTGCAGCAAACATTGCCTTGTTGATACTCATATCGGCACGGAATTTCAGGGAAGCCATAGATTTCTTCATGTCAGCTCGTCTAACCCAACCTCAGACTCTTTCTTCCCGACCTATTCGACTCTCTGGCCGCAGTTGTTGTAGCAGTGGAGTTGAAGTGATTGGTGAAGTCATGAACCTTTTGAAGAAGAATGTTGCCCAGTCTGTTCGTTTCACTTCTGCTTACATAATCCGAGGCCAGATCCGTATTTAGATCCAAATCCATGTCCAAAAATGAATCCAAAATCAGATCCAAATCCGAGTCCAAATCCATGTCCGAAAATGAATCCAAAATCAGATCCAGATCCGAAAAGGAATCCAAAATCAGATCCAGACATGAATCCAAAATTAGATCTGAATTTTGAGTATGGAATGGCTATGGATGAGGAAGCAATTGAAGGAGAGCATTCTGATGATGAAGACGATGATGAGAGGAAAGAGACGAAAGAAGAAAATTTGGACAGGGAGAGAAAAGGAGAAATTACATTGATTAGAAGCCGATTCAACAGGGGTAGAACTTTCTGGAGTGACATTCACAGAAAACCGCCAACCCAAAAAGGAGATCAAGGCCAAAGGGGATTGGTTGAGTTAGTGAATAACCACCTCACACGATATCACCGTTGTCACCACTCTCTCCTTAGTAGGGGTATTGGTTAACGGGAGAGCTTGCTTGGGAGATGATCTTCGGAAACCCTGCTGCTGCCGTTGCCACCGCTATTACCACCACCATTGGCAACACTAGTTGATAGAATGCTTTTGAACCGGGTATTTCTATTTTTCCACCTTGAGGACAAGGTGTGTGTTGGGGGTATAGAAGTCAATTGGTCAATTTTGGTAGGCGGGTAGAGAGTTGGTTGGCTGGGGTAATATAAATAAAATAGGTGGCTGTTAGTTTAGGGGATTCTGTTTTGGTGAATTCTTTTGAGTTGAAAACCGTTTTGGGAGATACCAGGCCTCTCGAAAGCCTGTGGAAATTGTAATCTTTTGGTTAATTTAAGTACTCCAGCCGATTTTTGGGCATCAGTGTACAACAAATTTGTGCTTCCTGCTTTTAGTTGGGGAACTGCTTAGTGAGAATTGAACCGTATCTGGAATTAATATGCTGTTTGATTTTCTGTCTGGATTATCCCCTGCTTGAAATAGGTTCTGGTATGACTTTCAAGAAGTGATAATGCATCTCTAAAGTGTAGGACTTGAAATAGCGCTTAGACAAGCTTCTTGGATCATGAGGGTGCATTATATTATTTTACGTTTCTATTTTAGTCTGTATTCTTCACTCAAGTCCCTAGATCAGTTTCACATCACCTTTTTATTTTGGTTACTTGTTTTTGCTTCCATTGCATAAGCATTTACTCTAAAGACATTGATGTTACTCTGGAGTTTGACCTCTTATAACTAACAGATTTGAATGTTCCATCTGTTTACTTGTATGTTTAAGCAAGATACTTGTCACCATCAACTTCATGTACGATGAGCTGGCCTTAATGTTTAATATGTAGCAGCTGTTACCACATCTCAATGCAAATGTTTTGTGTTTCATAGATCATCTCTGGAACTACATGATTGTAGAGAAGTTGAAAAGAAAATAGGAGATGTTCTTGTAATAAATTATCCTGTGTTTCTCTAGTTACACACCATTGACTTCTACCAAAGCAATCGATCAACTAACAGCTTAGACATTTGTTTAATAGCATGAATAGAGTTGAAAACATGAGAAGACAAAGTTGGTGCAATGTACCCTAAACGGTGGCAATTGGTCATCTGGGCTTCACCCAAAGTATGAGAACCCTGCTTGAACTTATTCCAAAACCCCCTTGAGGACTTCCTTGATAAAATAATAATAATAAAATTTGAAAGAAAAATGAGGCTCTCGATGTGGTCCCAAGCTACCTGATAATAGGATGATGACAATTGTCTAGCTAGTGATTTCTTTGTTCTAATTGCTGGCATTAACATGTGTCTTTGATTTCATTTTGGCAGGGGAATGAACTTCACAGTCATGGAAGGTTTAAAGATGCCTTGGAGAAGTATATGCGGGTAAGTGCAGCATTTGAAATCTGAACTCTTGTGAGTTTGTTTTTGGGTTTTGCATATGAAGTTTTCGCTGTAAGTTCACAAAGTAATTTCTTATCTTTTTCTTTACATTAATCAGGCAAAAAATAATCTAAAAGGCGTTCCTGTGTCTAAAGGTGGAACTCTCCTCCTCGCATGCTCTCTTAATTTGATGTCATGTTACTTGAAAACGGGACAGTATGATGAGTGCATAGAAGAAGGTACTGAGGTACGGACAGGTGTTGGTCAATCAAATCATATCTTGTTTTCTATATATGATTTTGATGTCATTAGATATTCCTAACCTTGGATAATTTCAGCAATGAATATTTTTGATGAGTTTTAGGTAATTTATTGCCACAGATACAACTCCTGAAGGTGGGAAGTGGGAACATAATTTTCCCCCTCCTTTCCAAGAGGATTATCATGATTGTCCATTTTTTCTCTTGTTGAATTTATGGCATAGAATGTAATTTTCTTAGCGTGGGAGACTGGGAGTAAAATAATGAACAATTGGAATTATTTTCAGGTATTGGCAAGCGATGCAAGGAATGTCAAAGCTCTTTATAGGAGAGGTCAAGCATATAAAAGTTTAGGACAACTAGAAGTGAGTTATCTTTTCTTATGTGACTCTTAATTGGGATTAAAGATTATGTCGCCTATGTTAAGCTTCCTTTGTGATGGATGTCTCTGATTTATTAGCATATGCATCTATCTGATTGACTTCTTAAACTTTTAGAAAGCTGTGTCTGACTTGTCTAAAGCACTTGAATTTTCCCCTGACGATGAAACTATCGCAGATGTTTTAAGGTATACAACTTTTAACCTGCATGTTTTGTATTTTTCCTTATAACTACTGTATAATTTGATCACAAGCATGGTGTCAAGGTACGTACCTGTTCGTTTATTGTATTTCACAAACTTATTAGTCTGAGAGACATGCTACAGGTTGGGATATTCAATTCTGACTCATGTCCACCTGTGCATATCCTGATTCCTGATCTGTTTATATACTGATACAGGGATGCCAAGGAAAGATTAACTGAACAAGGTGATGAGGATGCACCAGGAGGTATTTTGTTTTCCTTGACGTCAAATTTTGTATCAACCAACTCATGCTCTTATGTCCTTTTGCTAAGACTTTTATGTATTTCAATAGGCATAAGAATCGAGGAAATTACTGATGAAGAGCCAACTCCATTATCCGAGAATCATCAAACTTCATCTTCGGAATTTTCTGAGAGGAAAAAAGCTGTTGGTAAACGAGTGAGCAGTCAAAGTGTGAACACTAGTGCTTGTTTTCCAACCAAGCCGGAATATCTGGAGGCTCTAAAGGATGACAAAGAATCCATCAGGTCTGCTTGCATTATAAGTTTATCTTATTTGTTTCAACTTTTCAGATGATATATGCTGTGCCATTGGTAATGTCGGTCATAGTTGCCAATTAGCCACATGCAAAATCATTCATTGTTTTGGATTATTTTACTAATATTTAGGTCAAGTAATCATCGGCCAACCATGCTGAGAAGAAACTCTCTGCAAACCACATTCCGCATGATCATCTTCATTTGTTTTTGCATTATATGCACTTCACTTGAACTGTGGATAATAATTGCAAACAAGCTTTATGCACAACTATCAGTGTCACGTGGATTAGCATCTTCACCTTAAATTAAATATGACTAATTAGATGGTTCATTCAAGAATGCATAATCATCCTTGGCTTCAGAAACCCTCTGCAGGTCACAGAGAATACATACCCTGACCTGCAAAGGGTGCTCATTTTTAATCACGGGGGACCTCATTACTAGTTATCAATTCACCTAGTCAAGTATGGGGACCTTTTGTTATCAGTAGTACTATTCAAATGGTTTTCAAGCATGGGGTTATCTCCATTTGGGGTGCCACCCAGTGTGTAAATATACCAATATCCATGAGGTATTCCTGATTATTTAGGCACTTTTGCAGATAAGCATGCTCATGTGTCTAGATATCTGCTAGATAAATAAACCAAACTGATGGAGGTGTCATCCACATTAAAAGCGGTTCTCCAAATGGTCAATACTTGTTAGCTTTTTGTTTGTCCATGAGTTATATTTTTGAATGTGTTAGTTTTTCGTTAGGATGATAGGTTTTCAGTGGGTTCTGAATGTATCAATGGGTTTTGAATGTGTCAAGGTGTGTAGCATTTTCAATGTAATCAAGGGATGGTACTTTGCCTCCCTCCAAGTTAGCCTCAGTTGGGTCTCTTTGAGATTCAAATAAACACAATTGTTTTCCCCACAAAGAAAAGTTATACATTTGGGAATTCACAAACTTCCGGTTTTTGTTCCATTTCTCAAGTAAATGTCATTTATTGATGTTTTTTTTTTTGGTGTTGAATAGATCCTTTCAGAACTTCATGTCTCAAGCTGATCCAGAAACCATGGCATCTCTGAGTAGTGGGAAATTTGAAAGCATATCTCCTGATATGGTGAAGACTGCCTCAAATGTAATTAGCAAGATGCCACCTGAAGAATTTCAGAAAATGCTTCAAATGGCTAGCTCCTTCCAGGGAGAGAACCCATTGTTGAATAGGAGCTCCACAGGCTCCAGTTTTGACAGCTCTAATCATGGGTCAGGCATACCCAATGTCACACCTGACATGCTTAAAACGGCAAATGATATGATGAGTAAGATGCCGGCAGAGGAGCTCCTAAAGATGTTCGAAATGGCGTCATCTTTGAATGGGAAATATCCATCATCAGCAGAGGGTGGTTTACAGTCAAATAGGAATAATTCTTCAGAAGGCCAAGAAAGTCGGAGAAGTTCAGATAATGGAAATAATGTTGAGAGCTATCCTTCCCAAGGGTTTTTGAATTCAAGAAGTGCACCTCAACCAAGCTTCCCTAGCCCTAGCTCTGATATTCGGGAACAACTGAAGAATCCAGCCATGCGTGAGGTAAACTAGCTAACTCAATCTAGTTGCATCAAGAGATAAACATTGCGCATTGATAGAACTTCTGTTTGTATACACGGAGGGTGATTGGCATGAAGTAAGAAGTTAGTGGCTAGACCTATTTCATAGGGAACTACTAGAAAATGTTATGATCTGACCAAAATACAAACATTTCAAATTTTGGTCCTTTCTGGCCCTTCATTGATTAAATAGAACAGAAACACACTCTCTCTTACTTCTACCTTCCTTTCAGTCCTTCCTCTCGACCTTCCTTCGCATCTACCTTTTTCATCATTTCCTTTCAATCAAAACAAATCGCAGTTTCTTAAAACCCATCGAAATATCACACCATGAATCAATGATGTAAAACCAATTAAATTTGCTATACACTTCGATTCCTGGTGTGGGTAGGTTGGGGGTGGGGGAATTCGGAAAAAAAAATCATTTACTTTGAAGGAAAGATCAAAACATGATTTTGTACCAAGTGGGAATCCAGTGGTTACCATGTATTAAAGTTGCAGCCTCAAAGTCCTTTACGTCGGCCTGAATCCACTGAATTTTAATAGAAGAAAGAAGAAAAACTCAGAAATTCAATTTTTATTTTTTAATCTGTTTTATTCATGTCTGCATGGGTTGTTTTTTAGCCATAAGACCTTTGAAATTTGGGTATGTTTTGGCTTCGTAGTGCGAGTCTTGAAGCAACTAGTAATGTTACACCTTTGTGACAGAAAGGTCACTTGTTATGGTATAGAACAGCATCTTTGCAAAATGCAAGGAAAATGCTGTGTATGAAGACTTCTCTTCCCAACCCTAAAAAAGCTGAGGAGCCTTGTTGCACCTGGGTTACCCTTCTATGTTTTGTTATGTATACTTGGTACATCTTAAAAGAAACAAACATAACATCGTAAACCGAACTTTGTTGATGTTCTCCTAATATAACAACCTACGAAAATTGAAGTTATATCATGAAAAGTTGTTTGGAATAGATGCACTGGAAAACCTTGGAACCATAAATGAACCCGTGCAACAGACTTCTTTTATTTCTCTGCCAGATCTAAAACATCTCATAATCCATCTCTCTCTCTCGCTTGAGTTGCATCATTGAAGCCTGCCCGACCATGTTTGATTATATTTGATATTCTAGGATTAGGATAGTCAAAAGCAGTGGTTAGCTTGTTCGTATTGTGCAAATATGATTTTTCTCTGCTCATTTCCTGTCTTAGTAATTATATTCTACTTGTTTTTTCCCTTGAATATTATATGGTTCTACTATCTCCCTCTGCTTTTCTTTTTATTTCTTTTATTCCAACACTGAGGTAATGAAGTTCATTTTTTTTTAATATTAATTTAAATTTGGTTTCACTGTTTATAAGTGTTAGAAAAGACGTGCTTAACCATGATGTCATTTCTCAAGTTCTTCATGAACAGCCATTGTACTTGTTAAAATGCAAAAGAGCACTAAAATATGCCAAAATTAATGCTTTTGGGCCATGTCAATGGTTATTTTGCAACAAAATTATGAGTACGATAGTTAGAATTGCTTGTTCTGGCATTTGTTATTGTTTCCTAAGCATTTTAGCAAGGACAATGGTTATGTTTACACAAAACTACAAGTACGATAGTTAGAAGACTTGTTCATTTCATTTTCTAATCAATACATGGACACGGAATTGGAAGTAACTCAAGTCACACAAGTCATATTGTGCTAAATGCTGCACCTTAACCATTGACGTTTTCTTCCATTGAAGGAATAACTATCTGCTTTTATTTTCTTAACTCTAAATAGATGTATCATTTTCCAGTCCTATGATTTGTCATCACCACCGACCGATTACCATGTGTGTGGCTCATTTTTGGATCGGTGCCATGGTTGCACCATGTATTTTTGACATCCTATCAACGTCTATACAGATGGTTGTGATTGAGACACACACACATATATATATGTGTATGTATGTATGTATGTATGTATGCATGTATGTATGTATGTATAGGGTTAGGTTCAAGGGAAAAACCGCAAAAAATGAAAATCTGAGGAACACCGTAATAACCATTCATCTGTACCGTATCCACATGTGCGTAATATTCGCACCTGCATAGTTACTTGTATGCACATGTGCATACCATACAAATGAATGATTGTGATATATATATATGGTCAATGAACTGGCATGCCCATGTCTCTAAAGAGACTCGAATGCACAACCTAAAGGTTGTAGAGACTCGACTGATACCATCGGGCAAAAGCCATTTAGTTTTCTGTGTTATATATATATATATATATATTCAGTATTATCTCGATATTTACATCCTCATAACCCTAATTCTACACTGCTCAAGTTGCATATTTCAAAGCATGCTAGTGGTATATTATTTATAAGTACCATCTTTTATTGCCAGATGATGTCATCAATGATGAAAAATATGAGCCCTGACATGATGGCAAACATGAGTCAACAATTTGGAGTTAAACTCTCTCGCGAGGATGCAGAAAGAGCTCAACAAGCGATGTCATCTCTGTCACCGGAGAACCTGGATAGAATGGTAAACCTCCCATGATACCTTTTCTTTTTCTTTTTCATGTGGTCGAAACACACACCTAGTTTACGAGTTTTAAACCCACAATGGTTTGAAGGACTTGGTTGATGCCGTTGGTCCCACGCTTTGTTCTTTTCTTTTTTGTGTTATTGTTTACTTGTAACTAGCTTTTCAAAATTCATCATGTCCTTCACACACTTCATAAACCGGGGGTCAACCGCTCTACTTTTAATTTTTATGTATTTTATTGATGTTGTTACAGATGAAGTGGGCAGATCGAATACAACGAGCTGGTGAAGGTGCTATAAAAACGAAAAATTGGCTCCTAGGGAGGCAGGGGTTGGTTATGGCATTATGTATGCTGGTTTTCGCAATCTTTCTCCATTGGCTGGGTTACGTTGGCAGTTAAAATTAATCGACAACACACGGATACTGGAAAGCATGTTATCTTCAACGTAATTTGGGGTGGAATGCACAGATTAGAACAAGTTATTTTTTGTTTTCTTGAGGTGAAAATTGAATCATGTTTTAGTTTTTTGATAATGAATTGTTGGAATAAGTTATAAGAATTACCTGAATAATTATTCTCTCGGCGAATTGGTGTCGTCACTTACCAGGAGTGTTAATGATCCCATAGCAACAAGATCCAGTACTGGTTTAACCACAACTGTTCGCCAACCGGCCTTCCCAACCGTTAAGCCATTTAAAATCCAAACCGGGCCCTCTATCAGTCTTGTAATGAATTAATATTATACCTGGGACATATTCAAACGAAAAAGCTAACTATTTAAGAAAATACATGTACAAGATCATACATGATTCTCTCTCTCTCTTACACACACACATATATATATATATGTATAAAATTATACACGTTCAAAAGTCGTTTGCTTCCTTTTTTTTTTTGATGTTAATGTAAAATCATATGTGATTTTGTACATAAACGACTTTTTTCTTGTTTTCATAAATAGTTAGCGTTTTTGTTTGAACCTTCCTGCGTTATATGTACATATATATATATATATATATATATATATATGTGTGTGTGTGTGTGTGTATTAAGACTTGAGATCTTGTGAGATCAATCTATTTTTGTGAGACCTGTGTGTGTGTATTAAAACACTGATGTGAATGTGAAGGTTCCAATTTTTTTTTACCTTCACAATGTTTTGCTGTGAAATTTCAAGTGTAAAAATGTGGTCTCACGGGTCTCACGAAAACATGTTAGTCTCATCACATAAAATCCAACCCTATACATTAATATATAATCATTTTCATAAATATCTCAACTAATTGGTTTATATAGTTTGTAAGAATTGCATGGTTTATATTGAATCATTCTCTCTCTCTCTCTCTCTCTCTCTCTATATATATATATATATAGGGGCACATTCAATGGATAACTGATTAGTTTGTGCTAATTGTGAGATGCAATCTCAACCACAAATCAACGGATAAATAAGGAAATTAGTAATTATGATAGTTTGAGTTAAAATTATAATTAGAGGGCATTTTAGGTATTTTTAAAAAAACTCCTCTCTCTGACCTCCAATCTCCGGCCAACATTATTCCGGCAGATACCAAGTAATCACAAAGATATATAATGTGATACCCATTGTGATATACTGTGATACCATTGTGATACCAACTATGATACCAACTCAAACCATAAAAACAAAATCAAATCCATTGTGATACACCTTTTGATAGGAAAATAATGAAATTGCATATTGTGATACAGTTCATAAAATAAAGACTACCTGATACACTGTGATTTGATACAGTTCACAAAATTTTCCTTTAATCTTTAAGTTGCATCTTCCAAATACGGCACCGATTCTTGCACCTTACCTTAATTTGGTCATCTCGATCTTCTAAACTAGCCATAAAAACAAGTAATCCGGTGGCACAACTTTTGGATGATGGAAATCTTGTCCTCAAAGATGAGATTAGTGGCAACCTCAACAAGATATGTTGCACCCAAATTATTATACACATATCCAGTGTCGCAGTTTTCCTCATCGTCGATGTCTTCCTCCCGTCGACGTCTTCCTCGTCGCAAACTACCTCGTCGCCGTCATCTTATATGTCTGTGAAGGCATGTTGTTTGGAAGCGAACTGGTCATTTAGGGTTTGGTAAAGAGAAGCGAATCGGTCATTGGGGGATAGCCGACGGGATGTGATCGTTTCAGTTTTTGTGCGACGCAGATGGTGGTGGTGGTGCGGCGTAATTGAAGGAAGGATCGGCGTAATCATCTCCGAAGCCGGAGATTGGAGTTGAGGGCGGGGGGAGTGAGAGGGCAACAACAGGGATCTCGGCCTAGGGTTTTAGAATGAGTTAATAAGTTGTCAATTTTTTAAAATTACTAATACACCCTTTTTAAGGTAATACAATTAATATAATAAAATGGTTGGTTGAGATTGGACCTTACAATACCACAAATTAATCAGTTCTCCTTTGATTATGCCCCCTATATATATATATATATATATATATATATATATATATACATATATATATATACATACATACATACCCATATAAGAATGAGTTCAAATGAAAACACTTTCATTTTACGAGAGAGTAAGAACATTTTTTTACTATGGTCAATTACATATATTTTAGGGATAACCATCTTTCATCTTTCTTAAATATCTCATAGGATGTCATATTTATGAGATTTATCTTATAATCCTCCTCCTTATAAATTTAAAAATCTCATTGTCATATGTAACCGATTTCCTCACATTTTTTTAACCATCTTCATTATAACCATTCTTTCTTTCATATGAAACCAAACCAATTATTAATTCTCATTCGAAACTATTAAATTTTTTGTTACCATAGTTTCATACCAGTATTGTTTTACTTATGAAACAATACTAAACTTTTTCATATATGACCGTTTTGTTTCTCATATAAAACTAAGCCATTTATTGTTTTTCACATGAAAGATTAAAAGTTTTTGTCTAATTTTATATCAGTATTGTTTTATACAGTTTTTTTTCCAAATGATTCATAAAAACGTTTCATATACCAAATGGAAAGAAGCATAATCATGCTATTGAAAGATAATAATAAATAAAAACAGATTAAAATTAATAACAAATGCATGAATCTCATCGGAATATATGGCTTGAGGGATGATATTTCAGAGGATGGAATTGTGTCCAGATGGAGGTGATAATTAAGGCTGTGTTTGGTACATAGGACGAGACAAAACTCACTGTCTTATGTTTGGTGCAACATGGGACAGAACAAGAACCCACTGTCCCATATTTGGCACGACATGGGACAGGGACAAGGACAAAAACCGGGACAAAGTGAGACAGCATATGACAAAATAGGTTTTTTCTTGTTCCACCAAAATAGGTGGAACAAGATGGGACAAGAATGAGACATAAACTAAAATATTATTAATTACCCTAGTTTGATATATAAATTTAATATGATATTTGTTTTAATGGTCATCACCGTTAGTTTTGGCTGCTGCCGCCATCGACGGCCACCACCACCGACACCTCCTCTTCCACTACAACAACATCATCCACCGCCTCTACAACCACCGTCCACCAAATCCATCACCACCTCTACCATAGTCGACCATCGACCACCACCATCCATTGCCACCACCACTACCGCCATTCGCCACCTCCAACTCCTCTACTACAACAATCTCCTTCATCACCATCCATTGCCACATTTACAACCACCATCGGCTACCGACCACCACCACCCATTACCACCACCACTACCACCATTGGCCACCATGAAATCCTCCTATACCGCAACAACCTCCTCCATAACTTCCACAACCACCGTCGACCACCTACCACCACTGTCCATTGCCACCTCTACATCCACCATCGTCCATTGCCACCACCACTAGTACCGTTGGCCACCTCCAACTCCTCCTCTACTGCAACAACCTCCTCCTCTACTGCAACAACCACCGACATCGACCACCACCATTAATTGCCACCTCACCTCCACCATAACCACCACCACAACTATCTTCACTACATCAGCCACAATTACCTCCTCCACCATTGCCAACTGCCAGCACCACCACAATCCAACATCTTCATGTACTCTATAACCACCGTCGTCCACCAACTACCATTGCCTTTACCTCCATAACCACCGCCCATTGCCACTACTACCATTGGCCACCACCACCTCCACCCTAACCAAAACCACCTCCACCCTAACCAAAACCACCTCCACCGCCACCATTACTACCATCAATTATATCAAAATTTTCATTCAAATTTGGTGCCATTATATATGTATGTATTCATTTATATGAAAATTGTGAACAAATATTTTTAAATTAAACTTTTTAATTATTTACTTTATTTGTGTTAACTTATAACTATCATATAACATTTAAAATCATCAAATAACTCTTGGAGGTAGCTTGTCTAGTTATGTCCCGTCCAGTCCTAGTCGTACCAAACACCAGACATACTCTTGTTCTGTCCAATCCTACCCTCTTGTCCTTCTGTCCTGTCCAGTTCTGTCTTTACCAGTCCTGTCCAATCATGTCTGCATACCAAACGCTACGTTATAGAATATCTATAAATTTAATTAATTGATTAAAATTAAAAATTAAAATAGTTAAAATGTTTTCCAAAACTACCATTTTCTTAAATTTTCATCATATCAAATCACAATTCCTTTTTATTTGTACCACCATTCATAAAAAATGAAGGTCTAGATGAGTTTGTATGATTAGTAATATTTGTACCGTTTGTAAATGATCTGTTTATATATATATATATATATATATATATACATATTGGAACATTTAGTTGCGAACCCCATTTTTGTTGCCAAGAGTGAAATAACTGAGAGGGCGAGATATGCCCTATTTATCATGAATAAGAGACGTGATTTTTTACAATACTAATATAAATGTTACACCATCCATGATTAATGTAGAACGTTCATGATAAACGTCCTACAAATGTCCAGGTCACATGACATGGTCTCCTTAGCCCCTAATTGGATTCTCAACCAAACACGCCACTCACTCTCTCTCTCTCTCTCTAATTGGATTCTCAACCAAACACGCCACACACACTCTCTCTCTCTCTAATTGGATTCTCAACCAAACACGCCACACACACTCTCTCTCTCTCTAATTGGATTCTCAACCAAACACGCCACACACTCTCTCTCTCTCTCTCTATATATATATATATATATATGGGCCTACGAAATGAGAACTAACTAGTTTATGGTAACTGTGAGATCCAATGTGATCCAATCATTTAAAATAATTAATATTTTTCTTAAAATAAAATAGAAGGGTAAATTAGTAATTTGGATTGATTATTCAATTTACTTTAATTAGCTAATATTCCAATTTACTTTAATTAGATTAATTACTTTATTATATTTATATTTATACACACACACATGGACCAAAATACGGTGGCTCCTCTGGCAAGTGATGACCTCATCCGGTTATCTTGTCCGACCCCATCCCGCTACTGATCACCATCTGCATCGACACTCCCCTCGATGTCCCCCTCAAACGCTCTCATCGATCACCCTCCAACACTTTACATCCGGTAGCACCCACCAT